TGCCATATCATCTGTTCACTTACAAAGAAACAAGTGCCAACTGAGCAGACACGGCACCAATACCTATTACATCTGCACCGATCCGACCGATTTGTCTGTACCGGAAACCTGATTCTTTATGTACGCACCCTAAGATTAAATCTAAGCACCAGCTGAGAAAAACAGCTCAAATTCATTATGTTTATTAACACGAATAGCTACGACAAGCTAAGGAAAATGAGCAAAACAACAGATCTAGAAAAAAATGCACATTAAAAGTACGACAACCACTCAACTTTATTAAACAAAATACAGTTGCTTACATGTAGAGTTCCATCCGCTGCACTACACTTTACCATCCTCGATTTTTCCCCGATTACCTTTGGAAAGCACTCGTAAGTGTAATCATTCATGCGTCATCCCATTTCAATTTGTTTTACCCTTCAACGTTGTTCAATCATGATATAAACCCACCAAACGATGTGACTAGCTTGAATAAATTGAGCAATTGCAATATCCATGGGGTGCCTGCAAAGGACTCGATCGATAATCAAAGGGCTAGCCTTGATGAGTTGTAAGCTAACTAACATTATGTACCGTGGCAGGACAAGTTTCAATCTGCAAATATTTTTCACTGAATTTTCGACTTTTCATCTAAACTATAAAGCTGAAAATGTAACAAAATTTGACAGAAAGGTATAGGTTGACACATGTTACTATTCCGAGCAAATATTCAAATTTCAAATAATATTTTGTGCTAAGAATATATTTTAAATTTTGGTTTACAATACGTACTAATATGTTTAATTACATTAATAGGTAAGCTCTTTAAGGATTTCAATAATGCCCCAGATAATATTAAGCAAATAAACAATACTCAGAACCCTTTCCCACTCCTAACTCAATTATAAAACATCAATACCTCCTTACAATTTGAATGTATCAATTCCGGTATTTTCATAATATCTATGTATTTTTTTCGGACAGACTGTAGTTTTTCAGTTTATTTTTATTTTTTTTATTTTATTTTTATTTTATTTACAATAAACTGAAGAGATGACTATAGTCCTAGAATTTCCAAAGGTTGTATAGTCTAACATTAAAGAAGATTGTTTAGACACCACTGACAAAATGATAAAGAAAAACATCGCGAGGAACCTTAGGCTTATAATTACTAATTATAAGTTTGAAATTGTCAACCCGCATTGAGCAAGTGTGATGATTAATGCTCAAACCTTCTCCATGTAAGAAGAGGCTTTTGGTCAGCAGTGGTCATTTATATAGTAGGCTGTTGATGTGATAGACATTACAAAGGTCTCAGGTTTGCATACAGTGTCCTAGTTATAGTGGTCAATATTCTTTAGAATATTAGTATTTTACAAACAGATAAACAGACTAATAAAGCAAAAACGAGTACTTAGTATTTATAGAATAGTTACTTGATAGAAAATCCTTACCTGCTCTAAATTCCTATTAAAATATTCCAGTTATTGCTTAATTAATATTATACTAGAAACAATGAATTTTGTTAGCGAATTGATGCGGTCTAGTAGCTCAGGCATTTAGCGAACACTGTAATTTGAGAGCAAAGCAAGTTGCAATAGTTTTGTATTTCATATTTCACCCACATATGACTAGCTATTGGAATTTCATCGCGTGATATTTCTGATATTTTGGACATGAGCACTTACTTAATGGGCTTCTGTCAATACTTTAAAATAAGCTGCGGTGGAAACAACGCTAGGTGCCCTAATGCTTGAATAAGCACCTACAGTAAATACAGAAAATAGCGCCCACATTAAATTCGAGCATTTTCGATCACAGAAAATGTTTTATTTTCAGAAACAGTTCCATGGTATCACTTAATTGAAGCAAAAAAGAATTAGTGGCTATTCTCGATAAAGTTGATTTTTCTATATCATCGACGGAATTCATCTTGTTACACGCGGTGGGGTTCTCTTAAAGGAAAATTTAATGGCCTTTAAAATAATATTTTTTTACAATATTTTCTCTTGACGATCATAATTATGAAATCAAAATATGGCAGTTCTATGCCGTGTACTATGTTCTTCCTCTACTTTAGATGGTTTATCACAAGCTCCAAGTTTATCAAGCGGGTCAGAGATTGCAGTTTGATAGGTTCAGGTTGGTCATAGTCTGCTAAACCTTGGGTGAAAGGAAGAACTGACTACGAGTACATATCTACTGCATTCTTCAAAGCGTTTGTTTGCTTCAGGTATGTTGTACAATGAAGGAATGCATGCCACAACTAAAATACGAGTCTAAAAAGTTGAACAATACACAGGAATAAAATTCTAAAGCATTTTTTACAAATAGACGCCTCATGCATCAAATATTTGATCTATGTATGATTTTCTATGAATAATAAATCGTGATTGTAGTAGATTTTTTATTTTAGTTTAACATTACTTTGTAATAACACAATCAGTTTTACCATTGAGGTATGTCTATATTCGTATTGTCCTGTACCAGGAATATTTTTTATAGTTTGCAAATATAGGATAGGAATAATCATGAAGGTATACCTGGAATAGTTGTAACTAAATAAATAAACCCGTTATCGATACCCATATTGGTTTCCATTTAAATCAATGAAACGTAAACACACATGTATAAAGACAAATACTTTTCGAATACCAAAATTTTCACTTTGTCATGTCATTACGTAGCCAAAAATTTATTAAAATTAATTGATGGTCAATAAATCGTGTTTGTAATTAGAGAAACGATTTAAAATATAACACACAAAGCAACCACAAAGAGTATTTGCATGGTTCAATGTTAATATGGCTGACAAACATTGAGCATTGATGTCAATTAATCAAAAACAACTTTTCACATTTAAGACTGAAATCTGATGTCTCATTTGTGAGGTGGAAATTTTTACTGACAAGAAATCAATATAAACGGATGGGTGGATGCAGGTAGCGAGTGTCGTTCGACGTGGATGACTAAGGGGGACGCCTTTGTCTGGTAGTGGACGCTATCCGGCTGTTGATGATTAAAATGGTGATGACGAAATCAAAATGAACGTTGGTTTTTTAATGAAATAGGAGGCAAACGAGCAGGCGCATCACCTGATGGTTAATAATTCGAGTAAATAATTAAATTTTGTAAATGACACATTGATAAATTCTACGTGAATGACGATAGCATTCGTAACAAACATTTTTTTATGCTTAGATGATATTCAATAAGTAATTCTGTGAAGACTTGGCATGGGGGTAAGTAGTGTGAAACTGTCCGTTAATAATAAACTTCCTGAGACCTGCCACCCATAAGATGGGAATTCAGGGTGTTCAAATCCTATAGAAGGCCAGTATCGAAGCACCCGTGGAGACTCTTCGCCTGGAGAGAACGGCTCCATTAGATTTATAAACCGTAAGTCCTGTGACCTCGTGCCCATATTTGTAAGGAACATTATTTAGGACTGCCTCATTGGCCGAGTGGTCGCAAGTGCGAATGACGGGCAAGGGGTCTCGGGTTCGATTCCCGGGTCGGGCAAAGTATTACTGGGTTTTTGAAAAATCTCTGTAGTAGCACGGAGTCTGGAATTGTGCCCGGTATATGGCAATAGGCTCACCCCCTATTACATGGGACTCATAACATAAATAGTGAAAAGTGGGTGTTACATTGTACAGTGGCATAATATGCACCTCTGTAGGCAGAGGGGAGGGCAGAGGGGTAGGCCCCTTCGACGATAAAAGGCGTGATGTTATGTTATGTTATTATTTAGTACAAGGTATTCTAGTTAGAAAAAGTATAAACAACTATCGAAGTAATTATGCAGTCCTTTTCCCTGAAGAAGTCAAACTTAAAGTCAAAATCATTTATTTCAATTAGACCAGAAAGGCACTTTTGAACGTCAACAAAAAAAAAATTAAAAAACATGAGAGGGTGTCACAAGATTTAAATAGATGACAATAAAATCTCCGAAACGTGCGAGTTATGTAGCACTTATTCGTACGTAACTCCCGATCAAATAACTGCATTTGTAAAATCGTATAGGATAATTCTTGACTTAAATAAAAAAAGATTATAATTAATCAGGGAATACATCAATAAAGCGCGGACGAGCAATTACTTGTAAATATATAACGCGTTCGTTCAAAGAGACACACAGTGCGCACGGAATCAAAAGAATACCAAAAGGAATATTTAATACAACGGTGTCATACAATATTGGTAGCTGGAAATGATATTTGTGAAAATTGATTTTGTTGGAATTGATTTTAGTTGCACCGTCCAGTGGTGATACTTTGATGGGATTGCCTCTTTTGTGCCGCGAACATCCCTTGTTCGGAGCACGGAAAAGTAATCCTAAGTGGTACAAAATTGTAACTGAGAACTACAATACGTTATTTCACGAGTCATTTTACAGTATATTGTCGAAAGAGTTATTATGTTATAAGTTGTACCAGATAAAAAGTATTGTTTCGACTTTAATTAGTGTTCGAGCTTTATTTTAAAACATTTTGTTAAACATACCGTTTTTGAACTAGAAATTTCTCGGTACTAATATTTAGGCTTTTCGTTTTATTTAAGGGGGGAAAATCGTCGAATGTCTGCTCCCGCCTGGGTGAAGCGGGAGGGAGTGTCAGACTCTTACTGACTAAAAACCACCCCGTTCCTTCTCCTGCACGTCGAGCCGGAGCCCCGGTTACCCGTTAGGTTCTCCGCGACTAGGCTTTTTGTTTTACCGCAAACATATTCCTATGTTACATTAAGGTCCTTGTTTTTATTTAGTGCCGTCAAAACGCGTTTATTATTTTTCATACTTGAATAAACTATAAAAACGTTAAAATAGATTGATCGATCAGTCAGCCAATAACTCAAGCCTAACTGCATTCCTAAGCCTATATTCGTAAGGAAAAGAACAAAATTCTCCGTCTTTCTTCTCAATGCGTGTAAAAAATAAATAGAAAACTATCGAACAATTATGTCTTTTTAAAACTAATTGCTAATTTCAGTAAGGTACAATAATTAGATTATGTACGTACCCAACGGTCTCTCCAAGGTTTTGCTCGGCGTCCGAACAACGGGAAGGGAAGATCTCTGCTTACCACCCCTGCGGAACCCAGTCGAAGCTGTTTCAACTTCAGACATGATGCCAGGGTCATCGTCGAAGAGTAAATTGTTCGAAGGTGGCGGGTAGCGCGCAATCGGAGGCTGCAACAAAAACTATATTACAGAAACGAAAATAGAGGAAAATGCCATCTTACCCCATTTTCACAAAAATATGAATATACAGGAAGATACCTTCTTCACCCAATTAGATGTTAGTAAGAAGTTTATACCATATGTCAAAGGTTAATTAGCATAACTAACATTTGCATCCATCAAGGCAAATCATAATCCACATCTAATTTTGAATATATGTCGAATTAGAATTCAGTTGAACAACTTTCTTGCCACATTTAAGTAGGTAATTAGCGGTAATGTATCAAACAGAACCATAGATAGGAGATAGCAAATGTATTAATTTACACATAGATAATGCATATAGCATTGTTGCTACTATAGCATGGAAATCCATTAATGGTAATTAATCAAATGATTATGATCGCCAATCCTTATCGTCAAAGGTTGAATCAGTTGCAAGGAAGCAAGATGATTATTGCTCAAACCTCTTCCGTGTGACAAGAGGTTTGCTCAGCTGTAGTCTCTTGATGTAATATATCGTCAAAGGACATTGAGAAAAAAATTCTCAGAATCAATAAACCGTGGTCTTTATATGCAAGTTCCACATGGTGTTGCTTGCAAGTAGTACTTACCTACTAGTACATAAAGGAAATGTCAGCCCGATCAGGATATAAATATGCTCGGGTTTGCAAAAGGATTTACGACTACCACGAAGTTATTTGATGCATGAATTCAAAGAAGATCATAAACATGTTATTTTTCACAGAGATTCCTCATCTAGTTTCACAACTAAATGAGACCACAAATTAAGTCTTACATGTATCCACATATTTTTGTATTTAGCAAAAAACACACGAGGACGGAATGAGCTTTGAAAAGAAATAAAATTAAATGCAGCCACGAGGAATATGGACAGAAAAACTGGATGTTCAATTTTTACTTTGTGGTGGAATATTTAGTGATATGCAACGTTCAAAGTATTGCATAAAACTGACAAACAGAGCTGAAAAATATCTGATATTTTTGAATAAACCAACGCTTCCGTTACAGAAACGATCCGTCAAATTATACTTCCAAGTTCCGAGGTTTCGTATCAAAACTCCTTTCAATATTGGTTATGGAGATAATAAACGAACAAACAATAGAACAAAAGTACAAGGAGAATATAGATTACAAACAATCATTCAAAAGTATTCAAAAGTTAGACTCAATGTTCAAGTCTCACCGATACAAGGTATAGGATCAATGAGAACCGCGGAGTTGCGATCTACGAAAGTTCGAGAATGCAGCCGTGGATCAAGTTACAGGGAGCTACAACAATAAGATACTTGTTTTAAACTATTTCCGGGTATAAACTATGTTATCTTGATGCTATGTATGTGTGTGTTAGCTCCTGAGGTGATATCATTTATCGACTAATACAAACCTTTCCTAACTTATATAATTATTACACACACTAAATTTCTTAACCCAAATTACTTGATAAAATGTCTTATTTGATCAAAACATAAACAATACTGTTGTTGGAGAAGCGAAAATTAGTAATATTAATAGCACAACTTAAATCAATGTGTGAGATTTAGATGGAACAGTGGCAGTGGAGTGACAAGCAAAGAAGAATCAACAGGCAGTGAATATTGACAAATTAAAATTAAGAAGCACACCGATAATATCTGCGTGTATTAGTTTTGTTCGAAACTTCATCTTCGTTTCAAGTGAAGAATTTAGTTTTGTTGTTATTTTAGAATGTTATTAGTGATAACAACATCGAAATTGTGGTAATTCACAAATAATACCTTCTTATTCATTCTGAGGTCTACGATCCTGCCTGTGTGATCACGAAGTTTGTTGATCGTAGCATATTCTGGTGGATTCATCGGCAGACGGGCTGAACTGGGATGCTAATACAAAAAGAAATGTGAAAAAAAAAAGCAGGAAGATCTTTATCACCTACTTAAATTGAACTTTGCAACCAAGATACAAAATAATAAGAAATTCTAACGTTGTCATTAGTTTTCCTCAAAAAAGGTAAGGTAACTATTTTTACGCTAATTAACAAAACAAAGCTAAAATTACAATCAATAGTTGTTTCAAAAAACTATTTGCTAATGATATGTTAACTATCCTGTATCAGATGAATTATTTAAGACTGGATCTTACGATAGAATTTAATAAAGAAGAGTGTTCATGTCCTTCTCGAGTAAAGGAACATTTTCGACCCCATGTTATAATCAGATCTGGTTTCTGAACCAGATGAGCAGTGTCTCGTCTCATTTAACTTGAAACCTAGATCAAAACGAAATCTTAAATAAAACGTCACCATGTTCCAGTGAACTTACCTGCATTTCGATGGTAACATGATCTTGTGGGTTGTGTGGGTATAACAGCAGTTGGTTGCCAGCCAAGGTGTGCCGACGAGGATCGTCCCGTCGTGAACTGCGCCCGCGAGACGGGATCCGACTGGCTTCACCGTCCGAAAGGCCACCTAGAAGAAAAAAACTGTAAGAACTCAAAAAGTATAAGAAGAAGGTAAATATAGCGGATTTAATATTACACAGAATCTACTTGTACAGGTAAGTGATAAGTGGCTTTAGGGTCAGAATGATATTGAAACATAGGACCATAATTTAACGGTTGATGGTCTAGCCTAAGTAACTAAAAGAGAAATGGATAGACATGTTGATGTTTTAGAAGGGGAGAGGCAATGGGTGAAAAGACACTAGATGAAGGGATGGTGTGAAGATAATGGATTGGTAGAACAAATAATTGAAGTCACAGTTTAAGTTCCATTGTTTGTCGACGATCCATAAATTTCTTATACTGTTTAAACTGTTCAACATCGTCACGCTTTTTCCTGCTTCCATGTTAGTCTTCTCTGTTACTCCACTGATTACGTTGAAGCTAAAACATAAAGACATCCACGTATTAATATTGCGATATTTTTTAGGATTAGCAACAAGCAAAAATGACTAAGCTTTCGAAGACAAGTGCATCTCCTTTTTACCAAGTTCTACCAAGCATTGGTTACAACGCTTTGGATTTTCCATAATATTCTTGAGTTACATTTTTACATAATAAATTCCTGGATGGAGTATTTCTTTGTTTGATCCATACATTTTTATTCCCTGTGGATTTTGAAATTCTTGTACCTAAGTACCTACAATGTGTTCGTGAAAGTCTGAGAAAAATTCTAGTGTAGTGTCACGTTTTTAAAGAAGATTGCCTCACTGATCATAAATCCTTAGATTTTATCCATTATTTTCTTTATTGATCTTAATCAATTTTGGATTGGCTTGTTTTCATCTTCGTTAGTATCATGTTTATTGTAATTGTTATAATATTACTCATATAGTGTAAGTAGGTAATAAAACGACATTTATTGACACGTAGAAAAGAATTTATTATTTAATGATGTCTACAGATGAATTACATTATAACATCTAATTCTAAAACAATTGTCGATAAAATTGCTTGTACAATTTGGTGGTATAAAATAAAAATGGCTATGCAACGCGTCGTGGGTTTGATTACCGCATATAATAACACATATTTCACATTGATTGAAGATGCTGTAAATTTAACTAATGTTTAATTTAATAGCATAGTTATGAGCTAAATGCCATTTAAGAGCTTGTTTACCGAGGAAGTAGAAACTTCAAAGTATGGGAATGATACTGATTTGCGTCAATCTCTTGTATTGAGTATTCTAATCTCTTTGCAGACATGTGATAAATGGCATTCGACTCAAAGCATAATTTTCCATTCGAAATGTGTTAAAATGCATGTCAGCTTACAGTGACTCAATCATACGTTGTGTTTCACCCTAAATATTTCTGTTTAAAGTGTTGGTTTACCATAATTGATTCTGTTAATACCAACAAAGAATTTAAATTTTAAATGTTTATGAATAAAATCCTTTGTAAACCGAAGTATTTTTATTCATGTGTATTTGCATATTAAGCAATTTTATCGATGATTATTGTCACTACATGATAACAATTAATTTAAACTTTATAATTATATTATTATTATGACTAGATTTCTTTATTGAATACAAGTTTAAGTATAGTATAAGGTTGTTCTCCAGCGTCAGGCTTTCAGTAATGAACAATTATTTAAATCGCCTTCTTATACTTTACTTAAACTTATATTTATATTAACATTGAACATTGATAAATTTGGATAATTCTACTTGAAACTGTTTACTACTGGAATGAACAATATATTGGTAAAATTTCAAAATTCTATTTTTTGCTCCCGACAGAAAAATATGCGTGTCCTGAAATTACCTAGATGGTGTGGTATTGTCATTGTTCGCAAGTATCATGGTAGATTGATCAGTTACTTAGAGGACACGAAGTTATTTGAAGACAGACAGCCTTTTTAAGGTGGGGAGAGGAATTATGAATTACGTTCTTAAGTACTCAGTTGGAACAATTGCGAATCATTGCAATTATGTAGGTACTGTTGATCACTTGTCGCAGAAGAACTTGGATTATAAAGGGATTTTAGACAATTTGATTAGTGAGATGTAGTTGGGGGAATAAATTAAAATAAATATTTCATTCATTTGTGAAGAGTAGGCATAGGAAATCAAGTATTTTGTATTCTGAATTGTTGTTTATATAATTATATTCAGAAAACATTTCGTTGTTATTAATTAGGTTTAGGATGGAAGATTGAATGGAGGAATCTTAGAGTAAGTGAATATTCACAATGAAGTTTTAGGAGTAGTAAAGTCGGGTTTTTTTATATTTTACATTAGACATACAATAATATAATTGTACAAGAATGTTTTACAACATCTATACGAGTAAATTTTACTATTAAAATTGGAATATAATTGTGATTTATCGATATTGTAACAAGTCGATGTTTTTTTTTCTAGGAAGGTCAATGTATGTCAAAACTGTCAAGTATGATGTTCTCTTTTTGTAAAAATGGTCATTATTGAAATCTTTCCCAGTTGAACCACGGTTTAAAAGTTTGATGACATAATATTCACTATGTTACAATACCGATTTGATCAGACACATTTCATTTATACTTCCAAATATACACATTTTATATATTGATATATTGTATACATATGTATATAATATATATTATTATATGTAATATATAACTATGTTTTGAATGTCCCTTAGTATTTATTAATAAAGCTTTCCGAATACAATCGATTTTATATATTGGTAACTTTGAAATATAATAGTATATTAAAATATTTATTATAAAGGGTCATTGGTATATATTAACTAACTTACAGGGTTGTATTACTAATATCATCAAAAATAAATTATGTTTCTATAAAATATAATAGTATATAATATCCAAAACGTGATACCCCGTACGTGTCACTTAGTATTTAATTTTTTTTTTCGAAATACTATTTTCGACATCACATTACAACTTATGTCTATTTGACGACAATTCGAATTTTATTCTTATTTGTCGTATTCTCAAAAATAGACTACATTACAAACATTCCATAATATAAAATTTGAAAAATGTATACATAAAATTATATTATAATACACTTTATAAAAATATTACACAATATGTCTGTGTTTGAGTATTTTATAAAATCTTTGACATCGCATGATGTCCTGAAACTGTCTATTTTACGACAATTTGAACTATGTTCCAGTTTATTGTACTTTTTGAAATATAATTTTACATCCAAAAAATAAATATATATAAAATATGAACATTTTGATTATTTTTGGACACAGGTAAGTATGTATTTTATAAACATTTGAACAAGGTTCCTATAGTCATGCATTGAAAAATAGATGACAGAGTATTTCATTATGATGTAACAGCAATCAGCCCATTTAAAGAAATATATTATATATTTTTTGTTACAAAACATTTCACAATATATATATCTCTAAATATTTTGTATATTCTTCTCAACCCAGTACTATTTTTAAATGTTTATTTCACGACAACTTGAACTTGGTTCCTACTTGTCATACATTTTAAAATAGACTGCAAAGCAAATGGTTTATAAAAGGTTAAATATCATAAAATATATGTTAAATATCAAACTTTAATACTCGTCACCATGTCGCTTAGTATTTAATAACATTTCAGAATACTGTTTTCGACATTATTACCACTATACAATGTCTATTTTACGACAATCTGCACTTGATTCTTATTTGTCGTGATCTCTAAAATAGACTACATAACAAACATATCACAAAAATAGGTGTATGAAAAATTTTATTCTTATATTGAATATATTATTTTAAAAAATATTATCTGTTGTGTACATCACAATATGTCTATTTTACGATAATCTGAACTTAGTGCCTATTTGTCGAAATCTGAAATATACTAAAAAGCAATTTAGTTCGTATAAAACTCAAAGACTGTAGATATTATGTATGTATTTAAATAAACATAACAATATTTTTTTTCAACATGTATCTCTATTTTTTTCGATTATTTACTGTAGGTCTTCGGACGCCTATAGTCAAAAGTCTATTTGACAACAATCCGAACTTTGTTTTAAGTGTCGTGTGCTACGAAATAGACTGCAGAGCTCAAGTTAGGAAATAAGTAGAAAAATCATTTGAAATGGAAGATACTTTACAGTATAAAATATTATTAATCTGTTATACCCAAGTATACAATAGATACATACATATATTACATTAAAATACATATTTCATAAAAAATATATTTCATTTGTATACAGTTACCTACATATATACTTTCATAATTGATTATTATATATATATATACCAGTAAAAGCATTATCCGGTACTAACAGTATTCGCGTTGTATGTTTCAACTTACGACTGTCGTTACCAATGTTTACCAGTATCCTATATAACATACACCATCATATTATTATCAAAAATACTCAATTGTCTGATCAAATTATGGATGATTTCTACGGTAATGGTGATAGAAAAGCGGTTCTTAATTTTTGGTCTGCGAAACCTTAGCATTTTCACGACAGTAGTTTCGATGTCTCGATGTAAAAATATAAAAAATACCAGTAGAAAATTTTATTACATTATTATTTAGCTTCACAAGATAAATCAGGAATATTAAACGAGGTAATGTTCAAACAAAATAAAGAGCGTCTATCGAAGGCCAGTTTCTCTAAGCAATAAACTTCATGGTACCTATGTTTAAGATAATCCGCGACCAAAAACTAAGAACCGCTAATAGATACATTTTTATTTATTCATGTTATTATATTTTTAAGGGTTATTTTATTATTTCTTAGAAGTAATGTGTTATTTCAGTCAATGAACTATATAATTGTTCTCTTTCTGAGGACGTCAGCATTCGGTTCATTTTTGGGTTCTCTACCCTATTCGCGTACAAAAAGCCACGCTCTTGGCGGGCATTGTGTATGTAAGTAATGTTAGCTAAAACAAAAAAAAGACAAAAATGTGACAAATATAATTAAGCAACAATAAATAGATAACTATATAACATTACTAGAATAATTATATTATCTAC